AAAAAACTATACTAATATTTTTTTTGCAGCTGTACCTCCCAGACGAAGGGGCATGGCGGTAAACAAGAAAATGCATTGACTATATGAAGCAAACGGCAGACAACCTCTAAAAATAATATTTGACAGAAATACTTTTGTGCCGATCGGGGATGTATACGAATGCTTCATTCGGGAGGTTGGAAGTTATATCTGGCGCGGCATCGCTTTGGATAAGAACACCTGGAAAGAAGTTCCTGAAGCCAATCGGAATGGCATGTTTGCATATCTTTCGGTAAATTATTTATAAAGTTATATTTAACATATTTAGTTTTGATTTTTTTAACTTTTCTATTTTTTGTAGACATATTTTGATTTTCAAGCCATTTCAAATGATCCTGATGCTAGAATTTTATGGGCATCACTGAACCATCGGATATGTCAGCGGTATAGAGGCCGCAAAAATAGGGCAAAAGGTAAATTTATAGATATGCTAGAGGGTGCGGATGCAGCAAGGGCTCGACCCCACCCCCCCCCCCCCCCCCCCGGGTATGGATTCAGCGCGTTGGAGTGCTACTATTGACCACTTCTTAACTGATACGCATTGCAAACGATCCAGAGTAAACAAAGAATGTCGGAAGAAACAAGTAGTTAAGAATCGTGGAGGGACGTGTAGCTACGGTGGTGCTTCTTTCAAAAATGTAAGTTACATTAATGTTTATTCAGTTATAACATATTTTGTAATGTTTATTTAAGTATAACATATTTTTTTAATGTTAAACAGAATTTGAATAAACTTGAAGTATTTCACCGTGCATATGTCAATAAACAAGGGAAATTCGTTGACCCGTTAGTTGAAGAACAATATGTAAGTTATTATTACTTAAAAATGAAGTAGAATATTGTTTTTTTGTGTTTGTTTTGAAGTATATTGACAATCTTCGTGAAATGCAGAATGCTTTAGTTGCTGAGGTTGCTTTACAAACTCAGCACATAGCCGACTCTGGTGGTGATCCGAACTCCATTGATTGGATAGCCTTATTTGAGAAGGTGTTAGGTGCTCGAAGGGGACATGTGAGAGGCATCGGGCCTAAGCCTTCCGTAGCAGGTACAAGTGCTCCCACCCAGTGGCAGTCACAGTCATAAACTCCACAACCAACACAGGTACTTATTAATTTGTTGTGAATTTTGTTGTTTAAAAGTTTGTTAGTTTGTTAAATTGTTATGAATTTTGGTAGTTTGTCAAACTGTGACTTAATTGTTAAGTGATAATAATTTGTTTTTATAGTATGATATATTTGAACTTATATTCTTACTTTGTAGGATGTGGATGTTAACGCTTTTCTCCAAAACCCGGCGTTTGTGACAACAATTGGAGATATTATCCGCTCATTTAGCAAGCAAGTCGACAATGCAACTAACAACGACGAGGAAAATGATGATGGGGAAGACGATTAATATTTATTGTTTACGTTATGGATGATGTTATTATGCATTTAGATGATGTTAATGTGATATATACTTTGTGTATGTTATTTGATGTTTTATATAATGTAGATTTTTAAATTATAAGTTTTATAATTTTATAAATTTTGCATTTTTATAATATAAACTAACATAAAATATAATTTTTATCAAAAAAAAAAGTAAATAGACATTAGTTGCGACACCTTTAGGGACGATCTTAAGCATTAGCGACGACACACCCCATCATAATATTTCGTCGGCCGGTGGCCGGAATATTATTAGGGACGACGCCTTTAGGGACGACTTCTTCTATTAGCGACGACATGCATTAGGGACGACGCCTTTAGAGACGACAACTGAGCATTAGCTACGAGGTATTTGTGGCGACTTAATTGAGACGACATGTCGCCCCTAATACCTTTAGGGGCGACTTTCTTGAGTATTAGCGACGCTTTTTGTCGTCTCTAAAGGTGTCTTTTCTTGTTGTAACATCTACTGTTGAGCTAGAAACTCTTTGGTATGAGATAAAACTATTGAGGATAAAAACATATATACATAAAATCCATTTAGATTGACCCTCAAGTTGATTTAAGTGTTTGGAATTAAGAAAAACGGTAAAATGTTTGGAATCGTGTGATTTTGGGTAGATCTGCACAAATGATATATATGATACGACCATAGAAATTTTGTTATGACAATATAGGCTGTAGAAATTTATTTATGCTTATAGAGGGAGTATCATACAACTAAACGGAATATTTTTGAGGCCATAAGTGATTAACCGGATGAGATTTTGTTATATTTTACTCAAAGTTTTAAATGACATGGGTCGTGTCGCCTAGGGGTCATGTAAAAACCGAAACCGAAAAATTACCCGAACCAAATAAGCTTTAGGTTGTTCGGTTAACATAATAAAGATAGAGTTATCTGGTTTAAGTTTGGTAAACTTTTGTTTATTCAGGTTAACCGAAGAAGCTATTAATTAATATTGTTAAATTTTGTTTTTATAGATTACTTATACTAAAAGTTAAAACCCATATTTTTGTTATAATTTGATTTGATTAATCTCTTTCTGGTTTAATCTTTTTTACTACAATTACTAATGAAAGTTGACAGAATCTATTAAGCTCTGATCAATCATCGAATATTCTGTTAGTCCTTTGTGAGCAAATTTGGAAACATCTTTCATATATTTCTTGTCATTGAGACGGGATGAACACCATGGCGTGTTTATCTAAGAAATACTTTTTTTTATAGGTCCGTGTAATATTTGTACCTCTTGTGCAACAACCCTTTGACCACTATCAACATGGCCTTTTGGTCTAGGTTTTGTCCAGACCAACTTCACGTACGAACAAGGTCTATGATCTTTGCTTGTGAAGTAAACGTTTCATTATGCAACATTTAAATCTTGCAACATATCTTATTTTTAATTTATTTCGTAATTTGTTGTATGTAAAAGTTTTGAAATGAAAAATTAATGAATGTTTTTTCTTTATCACAGTAAGTGAGAAACATTGGCTTAAATATATGGAACCATATCCAGTTTATCCAGTAGACCGAAGCGAATAAACCAAAATCTTTTAAAACAAACATCATTTATTTATTTAATTTTTAGAACAACTAACAAATCCACTCACTAATCTAGTACTCCTAATAAATTTATACATTTTGTCTTTAACGAGACTTGACCCTCTGTCTGAGGGACATCTTTCCATCCTGATACTGATAGGTTATAAGCGATTTGGTAAAAAAAAGCGATTACACTAAAACCCGAATAAACCAACACCCGGTAATGTCACAGGAAGTTTTATGTTGGAAATGGTCGATAATTGACCGAAATTCTGTCGGTAAATGATCAACGAATCTCGGCTATATATCCGTCGGAAATGAGTTCCCCATGGCTTTTTTCTGACGGATTTTTTTCTCAGTTGGGACTTTATCGTTTACAGGCTTTTCTGACAGATTACCGATGAAAATAGACCGAATACTTCCTTAATTTTCTTGTGGCTAATGGTCTTAACTCACAAATGCTTCTCATGCTTGGTATAAACAGATGATATGTCTCTCATAATGTAAACAATACGACTAATCAAAATCCAATTACTCTCTCAATACATTGGATTTCGACATTTGTTTTTGTTTAGTTTCTGAACATTCAATTCATTTATGGGTTTCAGTTAGGGAAAATGACTTATAAGAACAATGAAGTTTTCAAACCATTCAAAAAACCCAAATTATGTTTTGTCTGTTCAAGAAAACCCAATGAACTTAACATTTTGTCTAAAAAGGCCAACTAACTTACACTTTTGTTCAATTCTCATTAGGTCAATCGGCTAATAAAAGTCAATGAATGACATGGCTTATGACGTGGACTTAAATATCGGGAAATTGAATTGTAACACCAATAAAGTTTCGAAACTGTTCAAAAAATCCCAATTATGTTTTGTCTATTTAAAAAAACCCAACGAATTTAACATGTTGTCTGAAAAATCCCAACGAACTTAAACTTTTGTTTTATTCTCATTAGAGACAACCATATTCATTAGGTATATAATTAGTTGGCAAATGACATGGAATAAACAGATTAGAATTGACATTTATGTATCAATTTAGGGCTTGGAGAAGAGAAAAACGAACAACGTCTGTGTTCGATATCTTATAATGGCTACTTCTACTTTTTCTTCTCAGTTGTTGATGTCCAACTCAAGAGAAGGGCGTCCACATCCACAAGGTTTTGCATAACCAAATATCTTATTTGTAGATCTTGAGTTTGGACCTCAACGATTGAGAGGAAGAAGAAGAAGTAGCAATTACAAGAGATCGAACACAAACGCCGTTCATTTTTCTCTTCTCCAAGTCCCAAATCGATATATAAAGGGAAATTCTAATCTTTTTATAACATGTCATTAAATATACTGTCATGTCATTTGTTGCCTCCAATGAGAATTGAACAAAAGTTTAACTTCGTTGGGTTTTTTTAGACAAAATGTTAAGTTCGTTGAGTTTTTTTGAACATACAAAACACGATTAGGGTTTTTTGAACTGTTTTGAAACTTCGTTGATCTTAAAAGTCAATTTCCCAATATTTAATTTCACGTCATAAGACATGTCATTCGTTGATTTTGATTAGCCATTTGACCCTAATGAGAATTGAACAAAAGTGTAAGTTAATTGGACTTTTTCAGACAAAATGTTAAGTTTGTTGAGTTTTCTTGAACATGCAAAAGATAATTGAGGTTTTTTCAACGATTTGGAAACTTCGTTGCACTTATAAGGCCATCTCCAATAGGAATTGTATAAGAGTCACTAGTACATAAATGATTTGTTGATGCGGTTAAAATAGTTATTTGATGCGGTTATTGAACCGCACTAAAAAATATCGCATCAAAAAATACCCTCATTTAATAGTGCGGTTATAAAACCGCCTCAAAAAATAATCAAAACCGCACCAAAAAATAGTATAGGAAAAATACAAACCGCACCATAAAATGATGAAAACAGCCCCCAAAAAATGCAAACAGCACAAAAAAAAACCATCCCACCGGAAACCACCCTTAAACCACCATCATCTCTACCGTGTGTTTGTTGCCGAGAACATAAGATTCACCAAGCCACACCATTTTTATCGCCATTAACCACCGTCGAGCATCTCTACATTGACCTCCTTTATAACCGAGCATAAACCACCACCAGTTGACACCATCGCCATCTGCCCTACCTTTGTTGGAAACCACCATTATAGCCACGAAGAACACCCAACATCCCCGGTTACCATCGTTTTTTCCACCTTAAACAAACCAAACGTAAATCAGTAAAAAAAGGAAGAAGAACAAAAATTAGTTTATCTGCATACCTTCCATCTCCACCACTAACCACCGTCAACACCGACCACAAATGTCGTGCCTTTACTGAGAACTATCGAAGCACCACCATCTCCTACATATTTCCGATTAACCAACTTATTTCACCTTAAACAAACCAAACGTTAATCAGAAAAAGAAAATAAGGAAGAAGAAAAGAGATATGCTTCTTGTGTTGTCTGTAAAAGGAGTAAAACACACGCAGGGCACACATATTTTTAGAGGGAAATGAAAATATAGAAGGAAAACGAAAATGTAGGAGGGAAATGAAAAATTCGAAGGATCAACCAACTTGTAGCTTGCTTGAACATGAAAATTTTGAACAAAACTTGGAGGGTTCTCGTGAAGAATGAAAAATTCGAATGAAATTTTTAGAGGAAAGATTAATGGTGCGGTTGAATATTTTTTAGTGCGAATTATTTTTTGGTGCGGTTCAATGTTTTTTAGTGCGAATTATATTTTGAGGCGGTTTTCGAAATTATTTTTTAGTGCGGTTTTGGGAAACCGCCTCAAAAAAGCTTTAATGGTGCGATTTTGGGAAACCGCACTAATAAAGCTATTTTATGGTGCAGTTATCTTCTTTTTTGATGCTATAGATATTTAATAAGAAGATTTTTAGAAAGGACGGCATCAAAAAATAAAAACCATTCGCACTATTAAATGACTTGTGTCGGAGTGGGTTTAATAGAATAAATTTGGATATAATATAGATGAGAGAGAGGGTAGAGTTGAATGGGCATTCAACCCTTCAATAGAATTATAATGCAAATTTATGAGTTTTTTAAGAGTTAAAGTATTATCTCTGCTGCTTGGCATTTTATAGAGCTCTCGATGGTTTAATGGCCTAAGTCAATTTCGCTTTGAGTTATACAAAACTTTCTTGAACATGAAATAGGACATGGTGTAAAGAAGTACACCTAGCTACTTTTTATGTGCACTACAATTCGTACGCTTATCCAACCATTGCACAGTGTAATTAAGTAACAATTACACACTTGATTCTTTTCTAATTTTTCAGGATGTCTCGTAGAACAAGTGCGTAAATATAAAATCATAAAACTGCCGAGGAAAATTAACCATCCATGTAAAACATTAAATGTTACTTGTTTGTATTCGGAACTAGATATGCTTAAAAGTCTCAATGACAGATGAGTATGTGCCGACAACTCCTAGTAGAATAGCCAATAGTACTAATCCCATAATAACAAAAAAATCGAAACCAAAACTTCTGTACACTTGAAAGATCTTCAGGTAACAAGCACAAGGGAGCAAGAAAGAAACAGAAACCACAAGGGCTGCTCCACTAAGAGATGCTACAGACTCGAATGATGGTAATGTTATAGCTAATACCACTGTACTCGCCAATACACACATCTTTATTGTCGCACTGATTACCTTATTATGTCTGTGTTTCACAGGTAAGTAGTTCTCGATCGCAGTAGCAATTGGCATTATGGTTATAGCATATTTCGCAACCGGACCTGCCAAAATTGTGTATATTGCTACCTTTGCACTAGCTTTCTCAGTTGGTAAATTCAGCGTTACTTGTGATTGTACATCGTCGCCATAAATAAGGTAACCCAGTATTGCCATTGTCATATATGTGATTGTACAGATCATGAAACTAAGAAGTAGAACCTGCAAATTATTAGAAAAGTGTCATAAACTGTCAAGAGAGATCCAGTTATAACATAGGTCTTATATGCCAAGCCATAAAACTGATATCTGTCCTCGATCCAGTTTCACCTACTGATGTACAAGTGGGATCCAGGATGTTTGGCTTTGACACTAGTAGAATTTAGGATGTAGACTATTCATTTTCCAATAAGCATGCATACTAATTAAGAAGGAAATGTATCGTGATCCATTTTCTTTGAGTTTAGTTCTCGTCTTTTGTTTAATTGGATTTGCGGACAGCTAGATAAATCAAAGTGATACAATCCAATGAAAAGTGTTGGGAAATCAAATTAGGAAGGAATACCAAGTGCATATTTTTATTGAAGTTTTTTAAATTGGCAAACTATTGTTGCGTGAGCACGTTGTATAGTGCAAACATATTACTTGATTGATTAAATAGCAGGTAGATTTGAAGTGATAAACTTTATTTTCATTTCCTTTCAGGTAAGCTTGAAAACTTACTATTGAAAATTGGCTTTTCTTTTTCATGGAAAGGTAAATGGCAGGGAACATAGCATGAGCTCCATAGCAGAATGTGTATAGACTAACTGCTGTTGGTAGACCCTCGAAATTCACAAGGCTCCCCTTCCTATGAAATCCAACCCCGGATGCACCAACACAAAATACACAGATAAGCACTATAAGTGAGGAGAGCACCCCACCTAACGAAAGATATGAGAGAACACTCAGATCACTTAGCCACATAGAAGGCAGGATGATAAGTCCAGCCACAATGACAAACGAGTGCCTTCCATCCATTTTCAAGCTTCCAAACTTGAAACCAAAATGGGGAGAAAGTTTATGTAAATTGTCACCTTCTAGTATGAGTAGACCAGTGGCAACAAGGTAGAGCTCTAAACAGGTGAAAACCAAGGCTATAATTCTTCCCTTTCGACCAAAAGCAATCCCAGCTATATCAGGATAGCTAGTGGCCAAAGGGTTGGATTCCATACAACGGCGAATTAAAAGCCCTGTAAAGAAAGCAGCGAGAGCAATCAAGATCAGGACAACCAAGCTTAGCCAGCCACCTGAAGAGAGTGCATATGGGATTGAGAGAATGCCAATACCTGATGATAAAATAGTTAGTATATTATGACCGGTGTATGCTAATTCCTTTTAGCTTGATTGCTAGGCATTATCATTTTCATTAATCACAGATTTGGATTCTTCATATAACATATGCATGTGTATATTTGGAACGTAGAAAATCATTGTATCAAAAAAACTATTCAACACGAGGAACACCAAAGGTCAGCAATTAAATGATTCTTGTATCACCTTATGACGTTTGGACCTATAAACATCCCTTATTCCTATCGCTCTACACTCCCAACACTGGCTTCATAAAATTCAAAAAAGACAGAGTAATTACTCAAGGATTGTGTCTATTCTGTGAACTGAAATGGATAGGCATTATCATGGCAAGAAGCAACGTGAGTCTTCTAAAACTCATATAGAGAATGTGAAATCTTTAGGAATTCAGCAAGGCTAAACATTAACCATTTTTGCAATTATACCCATCACGCAACCAAGCGCGCTACGCCCTCAGTGGATCCAAACTAGGGTTTTTATATATTAGTTTACAAAAAACTTTTTCTTTAAATCAATATTGATCTACGACTGTAAAGGCAAGCATAAAAATTTTCTTGACTAATATGCATCATATGAATAGGTAATGCATGCATACCTGATAAAGCGTTGATGCCATTAATGCATGTCTTGAGAAAATTCGCCTGTCTTCTTGTTGAATGAACAGAATCCATAAGAAAATGTTAGTCTTGCGAAGAAGAACAGGTTCACGTAGAATAGTACTGAGTGAATCGCACCACACATTGGTAGCTAATTCTTATGTTTATATTTAGAAAATGACACTCGCTACAAAAGGAAAGAGAAACAAACTCAGTCAAGTATAACTAACTTCTAACCCCAACAATTCTCGGGAATGTACATCAAAACAATTTTCATGTATTGCGGTCCTATAAAAAGAGATAATCGTTGTATAGAAAAGAAATGAAACGTAAAATTTATATGTAATTTGATACAGATACTTGAGTTCTGATCATATATATATCTAAAAATTAGAAAGGAACTTATATCAAATAAAAAAGTAGTCGCTCTAGAACTACATCAATTTCCATCTAACATTACTATCAGAATTTGGTTCTTATTGCTGTTGTTAAACTAAATTAAACTAATGAATTTCAGTTACGTTTAAATTCAAATTAATGACCAATAACAAATTTTAATTTCTTCACATTATACCCACTACAAAGGACAAAAGTTTAAGAGACGGTCCGTCGCCATCCGTCACTAAGTTGCCTAGCGAAGTGAAAGAGTTGGACATTTAGTATCCGGTGGCTAATTTTAGTAATGGAATTAGCAAGAAAACCTTCAAATTCAGCAACAAAAATATACATCGCTAATTCGATACACATCACACTTCACCAACTTTGAAACCAAATTATAAGCAAGAAAAGTGCCCATTTCTAAAGATTTATCGACGGGCCTTGAAGATATCTAGGAGCCGATCAAGGAAAAAAAAGGCTAGATTGCACACCTTAAAAGGAGACTTTGAAACCTTGCATATGAAGGAAGGAGGAACAAAGTTGTGTTGTGGAGTCTGATCTAAAGGCGAAGGTGAAGACGATGTTGTTGCAACATCAGACAAGGGCAAGATAAGAAATTGGAGTTCAACTTAAGCGTATAACGCAGTCACCAAAATTTTAGTGCCTCTAAGGAGCATATTGTCTTTGCAACAAAGCCAAACACTAAAGTGCAGATGTAGTGAAGCACTGCTTTAGATGAGAAGGAAAAAGCAAAATTTCTCTTTTGGTGTTTAGCCTTCTATGTTCTCATGCTTCCTTCGTTCTGTAGCAGACCCACCGTCCCTAATCGTTAGTTTGTCCTATCAACTTGGAGAACAAGTTTACTCATGGTCTAACCAATGTCTTTGGCCAATAAGCCTAATTTATAAGCTTTGGGTCAACGACACTATAAATAATATCATTGATCGCAACTACAACGACTGAAATATTGAGTATTGATTATACTCCATTCGGCTTGTAAGCGACTATTTATGACATATCATGTTGAGCAAAGTCACGAAAACAAAAATAAGAATCAAGTCTGCTTAAAGTCGTTGTGCGCCTATGTGTTAGGTTATAAACAAGTGTCACGGGAATGTGATGGTTGGTAAAAGATAAATTGAGACATGACTGAAAGTTTGTCGTGGTGCGACAAAGGTGATGTACATGTGTCATCAAAATGTGACACGTGTCAAGGGATAGGATTCATGTTAAAAGTCACGACACGATATCACGGTAAACACGACGCTAACATGAGCTACATTGTAGAACGTTAGAAACATGTAGACATGACCCGAAGGTGTTACTCTTTAGCAAGGAAATTATTTAGAAAGAGTTTAACTTCTGATAAGGTTTTTGTGATGGGTTTTATATGTTATAAATCATTGCATGTTGCGGAAAATAAATTAACTCTTAAGTTCACATGCAACCTAATTGAATCTATGTTTTTTCTATTGATAGCAATAAACTATAAACATCAAGAACCCTAAAGGGACTCTATAATAATTTAAATAAACATAGAGTTAGGGTTTACATACTTTTTGATTATTATAGTAAATAATCAAACAAAATCCCCTCTTGGAAACCGTGGAAATCAAGCACCAAAAGTTTAGTGCCTTTAATGGTTCGTACCTATAACCCTAGAATCTATAGAATGATGGAAGAGAGAGAAGAAAGGTAGAAATTTCGTTCCTATGCTTCTTAGAATTGCCATGAATGAAAATAATGAGCCAATGGGTCATATTTATAGTTTAGGTAACTTGTAGACAAAACTATATTTGAATTAATTAAATAATAGATTTAATTTCAATTTAAATCTTTTCCTTATCTGCATCAAGGAGGCTTCCAGAAACCCAAGAACAACCTCCAAAACCGTCCATTCCGTGGAGAGTTCTAGAATTGCTTCTTTTATTCAACTATTGAACAATTACAATTCACCCATTTGCACCTTTAATTAATTCTAATTAATTCTAACTGATTTCCTATTAATTTATTAATCATATAAATTAACAAATCAATTATGTAACTATTGATATCATGTTACTTTATTAATCACATAATAAATTAACATATCAATTATCTATTCTCAGTTAGTACATTAATCGTATAATATATTAACAAATTATTTGTGTTTCTCTCATAATATCATTTCTAGTTATTTCTGGTTATGAGGTCAACTCAAAAAAGTCTTTTCTTTTATTTTCAAGTTTATACCAATTTAGTTATGAGCTTAGACACCTTAATCCAATGGTCTCCCACTTGGATAAGTCTATAGCTATAATTGCAAGTATAATCAAACAGCAAAGAATGCTTTCCAAAGCCACTACCGAACTCTGATCTAATTATACATTGGCCCTAAGATAAGTTATTAAATATTCTTGCGTTCTACAAGATATCGTATGGACATGAGACATAGATCAGAATCAATCTCATAGTCTAAGATTAGGTTTCTTGATTTCGTAATCTATGACGACTAAATTCAGACTTCTAATTGAACACATCAATTCATTCCGGGCTCGGCCAAGCACTTTAGATGTCGACAACAAATCATTGAGGGGCCCAAAAATATATATTTTTCCCGATATGGAAAAAAGAACGAATAAACTTCGACTTATATGCTTGTATCTTTTACTTTCCAAATTATACATGACACTACATTTTATGGCATCACATTACCAATGCGTTTTCACAATACCAATTCACAACTGACTTGTAAATTGCAACTAATATATCTACGGTTTTAGAAAAAATGTTATTATCATCTCGCAATTACTTGTGATAGAATCCATTAAGTAATTCTCTGAGTGTGGGTTTGTCCAATACTAAAAAATCCCCATTTTTCTAAGTACTCATGAACATTGTACAAATCTCATTGTAATGTCTAATCCCCATCGATAATATACAATTCATTTCATAACAGTCTTAATTCACTACTTACTTCCAAAAGTGTGACATCCCCAAATTTCACGGCCAGAAAAGACCGATTTCGTTTATGCTTTTTAAAATAAAATCAGAGTAAACCCTTTTAAAAGATGTTGCGGAATTTGTTCCCAAAACAAAAAATGATAAAAGTTTATCAAAACCTTTCTTTAAGAAATATATAATTTCCTTTTATATCAAAACCTCGGGATGTCATATTCCGATACAGATCAAAAGCATAAACAAGACATTATAAGCCTTAAAACAGTTATTTACAACTACTGCCCTATAATCCATAAATCACTCATCATCATCCGACTATGCTCGGGGTCCACTACCTGTAATATAAAAAGCTGAGTGGGTCAGGCTTAGGAGCCTGGCGAGCATATAGGGTTTTCAACCCACAATAAATAATAAACTTATTAAGTTCTCAATCAACAATAAATTTATTAATCTCATCAACCAAAAATAACCCTAATTACCCATTCCCATTATCCTCACTTTACGTCCCTAAAACAAATATCACAAGGGACCTAGCCTAAGGATTTTCATTAGGGGTGACAACATTGCTTCGGGGGTTCCTCAACAATTTATGTCAAACAAGACAACCAATAAGGTGACAACATTGCTTTCCTCAGCAATTTATGTCAAACAACACAAACATCAGGGTGACAACATTGCTTTCCCTCAGCAATTTATGTCAAACAAAACAACCAATGTGGTGACAACATTGCTTTCATTAACAATTTATGTCAAACAAACATCGGGGTGACAACATTGCTTTTCCCTCAGCAATTTATGTCAAATAGGCACGAAGTCACATCGTCGCCAAGGTTTATACAACAGGCACTACGTCTCATAGTCGTCAGGGTTTACACAATAGACACTACGTCTCATAGTCGCCAGGGTTTATACAATAGGCACTACGTCTCATAGTCGCCAGGGTTTATACAATAGGCACTACGTCTCATAGTCGCCAGCATACTAAATCCATAGCTATCAACGTACATCTATACTGTACTTTTATTCCTCATCCTTTATCTACCAATCTTTTACCCAACATATTTGAAGATAAAATATATATACATTTTAAATTGTTTTAAACATGTATAAAACATCCATTAAACATCCATTTCAAATAAACAAACAATATATATATATATATATATATATATATATATATATATATATATATATATATATATATACACATATAGCACGTATTTTATATAAAATATTTCATATCTATGTGTAAGATGAAAGTGACTATACATTCACGTGATTTGATGATAATCGGGCAGCACTTCGTTTCCTAAAACGATCGTTTCTAATAAAACCGGGAGTTTTATTGAGAAACCGGGCTTTACGAGGGTCGGGCTTCGAAACCGAAAAGATAATTTTCTCGGGCTTCTCGGGCACTCCGGGGCGTATTCCGGGGGTTATATTGATACCGTGGCTTTTGGGGGAAGTTAGAATAGTGAAAATATGAGTTTAGGGGTAAAAAGTGGCAAAAATCCAAATCTAGTCGGGAGGGTTCGCATGCTATTTATAGTGTGAGAGGGCTCGGATCCGAGGGCTGAGAAGCCTCCACGCGTCAGCAGATCTGGAGGGGCAGCACATGGGTTGCGCATGCGAGGGCCTCGCTGGCAGCTCCTGATTGGACCGAGGTCTAGTCCGAGGGTTCGGTCGTGGCGCTATGGGCGAAGCTCGGATGCGTCATAGAAGACACACGTCAGATGCGAGGCGAGGACACGGAGAAG